ATCATTGCAAAAGCCTACTGAACCTCCCAGGTGTTGGGCTAGAGCAGAGGTAGACAACCTTGGCTCTTTTATGACTCATGGACTTCAACTCCCAGAATTCCTGAGCCAGCATGGCTGGCTCAGGAATTCTGGGAGTTGAAGTCCACATGGCATAAAAGAGCCAAGGTTGCCTACTCCTGCACTAGACCAAACTGGCCTTTGGTGGGTCCATTATGCATGTTTATCATTGAACTCAGGTTACTTAAGACTTCTAATCCAGTTTGGTTAGTCAGTGTGGCTGGCTCAGGAATTCTGGGAGTTGAAGTCCATGAGTCATAAAAGAGCCAAGGTTGCCTGCCCCTGGGCTTGAGTTAATATTAATATTAATAGCAATAATAGCAATAATAGCAATAATAATAATAATAATAATAATAATAAGAAGAAGAAGAAGAAGAAGAAGAAGAAGAAGAAGAAGAAGAAGAAGAAGAAGAAGAAGAAGAAGAAGAAGAAGAAGAAGAAGAAGAAGAAGAAGAGGAAGAGGAAGAAGAAGTTGGAATGGACCTTGGAGGTCATCTAATCCAACCCCCTGCTCAGGCAGGAAATCCTATACCAGGGGTAGGCAACCTTGGCTCTTTTATGACTCGTGGACTTCAACTCCCAGAATTCTTGAGCTAGCATGGCTCAGGAATTCTGGGAGTTGAAGTCCACGAGTCATAAAAGAGCCAAGGTTTCCTACCTCTGCCCTATAACATTTCAGACAAATGACTGTCCAGTCTCTTCTTAAAAACTTCCATTGTTGGAGCATTCACAGCTTCTGGAGGCAGGTTGTTCCACTGATTAATTGTTCTAACTGTCAGGAAATTTCTTCTTAATTAGTTCCAATCAAGCCTGCCAGTGTGTCCACATGGATGATGCGCTACAGAATATCTACAAAGCAACAGTCTGGAAGCTTTCTTAGAGGTTTGAAAAAAGTCTTGAAAATGTCCAGTTGAAGCAACAGAGAGGCAGGTAGGAATTGTGCTGAGCAACATCATGCATAGTTGTACATAACAATAACATATAGTTTCTTGCCCCTTGCACGGTCAAGTCAGATGTGTCAACATATAAAAGATTCTTCATTTGTAAAAATGAATAAATGAAGCAAAATTCATTTTTTAAATGGAAACAGAAATTATCCTTCCCACAGAAGATTTATATCGCTTTATTTGTCTTTCTCACAGAATATTTATATCGGTTTATTCCTGTACTGCGTGGGGTTGTCCAACCTTTTGACTTGCCTGAGTTGCAGTGAGTGAAGAGGAATTTGTTTTGGGCCATATATAAAATATACAATATGGTTAATATATATATAAACATTATTTTTTTATTATCGTGGGGACACATTACTAGCTGTTCAGAGCTGCATGCAGCCCATGGGCTGTGGGCTGGATATGCCTGGCCTACATGTATATCCCTCATTAAACACTTCAGAATTATTACCCAACTTCCTCACAGTTGTATCTCTAGAATGGGAATAAGGGGATAATAGGGTTTAGAAAATATGATTAACAAAATTGGAAGGTCTTCTGAATACCAAATAAACTACATAACAACATATAAGATAACTTTGAAATGTTTAATAATGATTAAAATTAAAGATGTTATTTTTTTATATAGACAGAGATCCCTCCTGAGATCCATGTGGTTCCCATGCTGATGGCATTTTGGATGGCCTTGAAGATCTAACAGTCCTCCGAAGCCTTGGGTTGTTTCTTGAGTACGGTTGTTTTACATCTGTTTTTGCACTGAGTGGCCAGATATTCCATCTTCTCCACCTATTTTGTATTTTATTTTTATCTTGGTTTGCTAAATTATAAGCCATCCAGAGATAACATCTAAACCAAGTCAAATAAATAAATAAATATTGGTGTCACTTGCACATATAAGTTACACTCCCTCAGAAAAAGTGTCTTAGGTCTCTAGGAAGGCAGTTTAAAAGAAACTTTTTGATCCTATCTGAAAATGTTAGGATGCTTTTAAAATTTTGTGTGATAATTCTGTGGATCTTAATTATGCGTATCATTTTGTTTAGTCCACATGTTTCTATTTGTATATTGTAAGCTACCTTGATTGTCCACGGGACGGAGTGGTGGAGTAATAATGAATGAATGAACAAATAATATTATTTAGCTGGGAATATGTTCTAATCAATTCAACTAGACTTACTTTAAATATATATATATAGGATTATATGGTAAGGTTACAATAGTATATACATTTACGAAGAAAAAAAATTCTACTGCACTCAGTGGGGCTTTCTGGACTTTTGGGGGAAAATGGTGAACTGAAGAAATTTCTGCTAAAAAAGCTGAAAATTAAGCAAAATGAAAAACCAATGAATAGACTGGGTCTTCATATTTCCTCTCCAGAAAAAGAGAGCACTCAAGATCACTCACAAATGTTCCATATAGTTGCTTCTCGCAAAGGAGACTTCAGAATAGTAGTCTCCAATGGATTTAGAGCTCTGGGATACCAGATAATAGCTATCTGGCTTATCCAATGGTTGGCATCTTTAAAAACATTGAATTCCCATAATTCTTTTTTTTAATCACTTTCAGAAATTGTTTAACTGCTTTTTAAGCTATTAGGAACCTTTGCATTGCCAAGTCTGAAAAATTGGATGAGTTTCCTTTCATCCTTAGTGAAAGAAGTTTAAATACAAGTTTAAGGATCCTTTTAAAAAATCTGGAATAAAAAGCAAGAGGGTGATTACAGTTTTGATTTTAGAAAGTCCAGATAAATTTGAAATAAGATTCTGGAATTATAAGAATCCTTCCTGTGGTAAAATACAATTCCTTTGATTTTTTTTGTATAAAAAAAAAACATGATAGGATGAGACTTTAAAGGTTAAATTCTTGAGGGAAGCACAAAGAAGTAATGATTACAATTAAAGGAAAAGAACACTTACATTTGATTTACTAATATAAAATGGAGCAAAATGTTTTAACATTCAACCTACCGAAGGGTATTATTCAACAATGGACCCAGAAATCAATTTTATGGGGGGGTCTGCCTGCGTAGATAGACTGCATTTATAGGTAAGAGGAACAAAATACTAAAGGTGGGATAAAAATAAATAAATAAATTTTACCAGACAAGACTGAGACTGATTTGAAAGTGGATTTTAAAATGACAAGCTACAAGAGTGATATGGAAAAAGATGCTACACTGCACATACAAAATAAACCAACTGATGGCTTAATAATTAAAAGGGCTATGCAAATAAACCAACACAAGGCTTTGGATAATTTTACTGGACTTATAAAAGAAGTTTGTTAAACCTTTAAAGAACTTTGTGAAAAGAGACAAAGAAAAAAAATGAAAAGAAATAAACTTTTAGGCCACTAAGGACCAAAAATCAGAATAGTTACAAGTAAAAGGAAAGAATATAAAGTTGGTTTATTTGATCAAGATTAAAATAGATATGTTGTTATCACTGGTAACCCTTAGTGGGCTTTTGCTGACCAGGACTGAAATGACTAGGTTTTAAAATATTTCTTTATAAATAAGAGAAGCAATATGAGAAGAAGACATCTTGTGTTGCATTTTAAGATGATGATTACTGTTTACACTTGTGATAAAAGGGAAAGACACTTCTTTATATATTTCTTTTATTTTCTTTAATGTTATTTTTCTCTCTTTTCTATTTCCCTTTTCTTCTCTGCACGTTCTATTTTTTTCTTTTCATTTTTTACTTTGCATTAAGTTTGGATCACTAGAAATGTTTAATAACATTACTATTTGAAAAAGAACTCAGGGGATTTTTCTATAAGAACAACATTACACTGCTAGAATCTAGTCTAGAATTTACTGTTTATGGTCTAATGATTAAATAATACAAATCGAATATTTGAGATGCCCTATTTAAGTTAGCCATACTATTTAGTAAAACACGAATTTATTTTTCTTCTGAGAACAGTCATTTAGTATGAAAATCTTAAAAGTCTCCCATATTGTCACAACGTATAAAATCTTTTAGCATTTATATTACTAAAAACAAACAGCGATAGTAGAAATAATCTTTCTGAAGCATTTTTTTTGCGTTCAGCTAATTGTGTTTCGGACAAATTCTTTGGGATCACATAATACTGCACTGTAAAGGGAAACAATGCATAGGGGACAGCTATGACTACAGGACATGTTCCTATGAAATCACAAGGGAGGCCACCTGAATGAAATGCCACCTGGTATGAATGAAATAGCACACGGGAGCCTCTGAGGCCTCTTTCCTTTTGCTCATGGGTGCAAAATGGGCAAAGTTTTCCAACCCGATTAATCCCAAAATATCAAGGAAAAATGGCACCGCTCTGCCTGCTAATTAGCAATTCTACACACATTTCTAGATTACAAGGTTAGAAAAACGCTGGAAACAAAGTCAGTGGTGAAGCCAAGGCAATCAGAAGTAAGATTGATGTTTCACAGAAGGCCAGCACAGTTAAGTGAGAAGGACCAGAAAGGAAAAATGGGCTGTTGAGAAGATCCACAGCAACCATCTGGAAGTCAAGGACATCTACTGAGGAACCTCAAGACGGATACCTTGGCACACATGTTCCAGCTGTTCCAAGCCCCTTCTCAGTCCCTCCTAAGACTCTGCCAGCTATAAATCTTTTCGGGGCAAAAAGCCCTAACCTCTATTTCAGATCATCTGCCTGCAGCTTGGAGAGTCCGCAACAGCGGGTTAAGGATGGATGGAAAAAGCCGGTCTCCTCCTCTTCAACCGACTCACGCCACCACCTGAGCAACCGCCACTTCTCCCTGCAATCCTATCTTCTCTTGCCCTCTTTCCTCCCGCCTCGCCCGGTCTCTCTCTTCTCGTCTTTTACATCTCTGAATTCCTGCAACCTTTTTCCTTAGATGCCCTGGGATTTCCGCCACCTGTCCCTTCCTCCGCATCCCTGACTTTGGGGAAACTTGCTCCATTCGCCGGCAAAGCGATGGGCACCGTCTCCGAGGTTCACCTGCCTCCAAGATGCGCCCGTTACCTCGAAAAGCTGCGGGATCTCCTTCTTGGTCAGGTAGTCCTTGGCGTCGCAGCTGCTCATGCCGCCTGGCGGAGAAAGGGCGATGGCGCGCGACTGGGGCTAGTGCTGCTGGCTGGGCGCTTTTTAGCCCGGCTTTCTCGGCTCTTGTCGTTCCCTCTTCGCCCCAGCGCTCCGGTCCTCGTCCTCGCAAACCGCTTGCTCCTGGAAGGCAAGGCGATCAGAGAGAAGCGGCAACAACGGCAGCGCCTCCGCTTCCTCGCCCGAGCTGCCTTTAGCCTCCCAGCCCAACCCGCGCGCCGCCAGTCAAGCTGGGGCTGCTGGGGGTGGGAGTGGGTGGCTGCTGGAAAGGCGCCGGGGAGGGAGGAGACTGGCTCCAAATCGCACGACCGCGCTTTTCTGTACACGCACATACACACACTCACAGAGAGAGAGAGAGAGAGAGAGAGACCCAGACACGCACGCTGGCACGTGGCGCTCCTTAAAAAGAAAGACAGCAATCGAGGGGGAACCGGTCACCCGAGACTTTCCGCGTGGTATGTGTCCTTAGAGCGTGGACAGGATCTCGTATCCGAAAGCCTGTCCCGAGGCAGTTTCCTCACTCCCCCCCCCCCACGATCGCCGGCCCTTTGCAAAGTTTACGCGGCAGGAAGCGAAGATTCTGCAACCTCAAGCTCAGCCTCTACGCCCGCGGCTGATCTCAGCTTCTTCCCTCGCACGGAATACAATAACCCGGGGTGCGAGGACATCTGGATTGAAGGCGAGGGTGGGGAGAAGATTCCTGAAACGGCGTTCCTGCATTTGGGGCAGTGCCGGCATTATTACCAAGGGGGAAGATCCACTTATGGGCCGCATTTGGACAATAATGCCCATACATCTCAAGTTTAGCTGTTATTTATAAAATAGAATTCTTTATTGACCAAGTATGGTTGGACACACAAGGAATTTGTTTCTGGTTCATAAGCTCTCAGTGCACATAGAAGCAACAGGTGATAAATCAGGATCATAATCAACATAAAAATACATTCATCATCAATCATAAGATAGAACACTTAGTGATAGCCATAGGGTACTAAATAAGCAAACAACATAAATCATACTAGGATACTAAATAAAACAATATCAAATTTATATAGCCACCCACATCACAGACCTGACTCTGGGTGGCATATAATAAAACAACCAGTTAAAACAAATACAAAACAACAAGGAAAAACAATCTAGACACAAATATAAATGAGACCACAGGAGAATGGACCAAGGTGTAACCATCTTGTGCAGCCCCTATTTCTCTGGCATCCCCAGTGTTGAAAGAATCATGTTTTGAAAGATTTCCTAAATGCCAACATCTGGCTATTCTCACCTGGGGTGGAGAATGATGCTGCAGAGGGCAGGTGCCACAGCAGGAAAGGTCCACCTCCTGATCAGTGTTTCTCAACCTTGACAATTTTAAGGCATGTGGACTTCAACTCCCAGAATTCCACAGCCAGCATTGCTGGCTGTGGAATTCTGGGAGTTGGAAGTCCACATGCCTTAAAATTGTCAAGGTTGAGAAACACTGTAAGTCAGATGGAACTTTAGCACACAGGACTCCTAACATGCCCATCCTGCTAGACCTGATGGGGCAGGTAAATTTAGCCAAGTAGACCCTCAAATGCCATGGATGACGTTATAGTTCACTTACAAAATGTGGCAAGAAAAGTCATAAAATGGGCAAAACTCAAATTTAACAAATTTCTCACTTAGCAATAAATTTTGGACTCAAATGTGGCTGTAAGTTGAAGACTACCTGTAGTCCATTTGGGAGAGACCAAGGCATGAATAACTGTGAGCAGAGCCTCATGATCCAGGAACGTGTACAACTGGTACACAACACAAAGCTTCCAACAGTTAGATAGGAGCTGGATTTGGGGGGGGGGGTATATGACAATTTGCTGTGAGACAACTCACCACAGCCAACTTGCTGTGAGACAAGAATTACACTCATATCAAAGAAATGGTGGAATAGAATCGTTACGGAAAGAATGCCGAAGGAGGGACAGAATGAAATTTAAATGGCAAAAAATTTAAAATAGCTATTAATTTTAAATAATTAAATAGAATTGTTAAATAGTCCCACAGCGAGTTGGCCATGGTGAATTGTCCTGCAGTGAGTTGACCATGGTGAGTTGGCCGTGGCGAGCTGGCCACAGCGAGTTAGCAATGGCAAGTTAACTGTGGCAAGCTGTCCCATTCCCGGATTTTGCTGTCATCTTATAGTTATGGAAAGAAAAGAGTGTCATTAAATTCATTCTGTCTTGCTTCTGGACAATAATAGAATTAACTTTTGTCCTCCCGCCCCATTGATCCCTGCTTTTCTTTCAGAATGATTAATTTCAGATTGCTCCCCCACTTTGGCTTTTAAATCACATCTAACAGCTCTTGCATACAGAGCATCTTTAATCCTTTGTCCATATGCAGTTTTAAGCAGTAGCAGAATGCTGGCTATCTCAGTGTTCCCTTTGATCATCAGTTTCAATAGTTTTATACTGATCTTTCATATTCTGGAAAGCTTCGTTTTTTTTCTGTTTCCTGCTGACACAGTTTTGCCACAACAAAAGGGAAGGAGGAAAAAAAACCATAACGTATCACCTCCCCCCCCCCCAGATAAGTGACTTGGAGATGTGGCAAGTTGTAGTTGTGCATCCTTTCTTCTGATCTCCTGACTCTTCACAGCTTAGTTTTATTCCTGTGCTGACATGGCGGAAGACCCACTGATGTGGCTCAACTACATTCAAATTTTGATTATAGACAAGGTTGAATCCATATACAACTGTTGATTTTTCTCATTGAATTTGCAGAGAGGAAATGAAAAAAAGGAAAAAAAGAACAGTTACAGCCTAAATTAATTAAATTCTAAATTAACATGTATTTGGCATGGTGCTTGGTAGCCAAATGCTGTAGTTGTTCATTTTGAGTCATCTTTGACAAGGAACCACTAGTTCCACTCACAATATCAGCCATGCCACTGACTACATGTTAACCAATCACTGGCCTGAAAATATTTGCAACCAAACCTTGAGGACAAGGCTTTGCTTAGCAAGTGTCAAGCCCCGTGCAGCTGGCAAGATCAAGGACGCAAGGACTACACCGTTTTCACTAAGCTATCTTTAATGCTAACCCAGGATAAGTACAAAATCTTGGAAACTACAATAGGAATTTCCAAACTCTTTTATAGTGAGGTAAGGCAAAATATCTCTGAATACTTTGAAACCCTTTTTCCCAGATTGCTTCCCACCTGGGCTGATTTGCCCTTTTATAAAATAATCTGTCAACTGAGTCATCTGCTATGAACTTTTCCTTTCTTTCTCCAGATGCCTCGCAGTCTCTCTCAGCAAGACACTATCAAGGAGAAGCAATCTAGAAAATCCAATTTATGGTCAGAAATCCCAATGTGGTGAAGTCAGAGTGGTATTAAACCATAGTGAAAACAGGTCCTGAGACAGAAATATTGGATGTCTCAAGGTAGAGACCATAGATGGGAATAAACTGAACTGAACTTAAAAGTGAAAGGTTTTTATTTCTTCCACAACCCATATTTTGCCTGCTGTCAGAATTCTCATTTCAAAGAAGCAGACTGCTTGCACGTTAAGTACCATTTTTCTCCCCTGCCATCCCTAAAGTTGAAGCTGATGATTTCTCCTTACTGCAAATATACTCACTTACCCTCTTACTATATAATAACAAAAGAACAACTACAATGCGTACAATCTTCCTGCGGTAAAGTTTCAGTCTCTGCATTATACTGCCAGGTCCATTTCAATCTTTTTTATTCAGTGGGTGCCCTTGAAATAAGAGAGCCAGCTGGTGCAGTGGTTAAGGCATCAGGCTAGAAGCTGGGAGACTTGAGTCTACTCCCATCTTAGACACAAAGCGAGCTGGAAAACTTGAGCCAGTCACTTTCTCTCCACCCTAGAAAGGAGCCAATGGCAAACCACTTCTGAAAAAGCCTTCCAAGAAAACTGCAGGAATTTTTTCAAGCAGTCTCCAAGAATTGGAAACTATTGAACAGAAATAAAATGAAATCCTTGAAATAATTTTCAGATCAGTAGGTACCTTTGCATCCAAATTATTATATGTATATTGTAGCTCATAGTAATTTTTTTCCATCACAATTTCTCCTAGAACTCCAATTGAAAAAGGCTGGCAAAGATGAAAAGCTAAATATATTACCAAGGCTAAACTATTTGTATTGATTTCCGGAGAAAATATTCTTTCATTTAAAAGTTACCTTTCAAATCATCTTCTACACCTTGCTTCTTTTAAAGACATGGGATTTAATTTTAAACAGTAGTAATGCCATCGATGTCACTGCTCATTGATAATCCATCACCATAGCATTCTGTGTTTGTTTCTGAGAATTTGAACTGTGTTAATTTCTCCCCCTCCATAAACAAACCATGTCCTGAATTTTAGATATAAGTACTCTTCATTTAGCAACCATTCACAGTTATGACGGTGATCAAAATGTAACTTTGCAGCCAATCCTCACATTTACTACTTTTGTAGAACTATAAAGCAAAGGAAAGTTGAAGTAAGATTATAAACACAGTTGCAGTTCCACTTAGCCACCACTTCATTTAACAGCTGAGTTGCCAGTCCCAATTCTGGTTGCTAAATAAGGACTCCCTGTACCCGATTTTATCCTTTAGAATGTTTTAAAAATGCCTTCCATTTGTGTGAACAGTTACTGATGTTCTTTTCCTTTCTTTCTCATCAGCATGCATACCACTGAGATGGATGAAGCTTCTGTGTTAGGAATTGGTAATTTGATGGTGAAATCTTATAATTTCAGAGTGTGATCTTCTCCTGTCTGCAAAGGGCACTCAGGCTGAAGGGCTTGTCAAGTGATATAAAACTGTTCTATAAATCAACTGCCAGATATAAGAAAATAACAAACACAAAACTTTATTGCTCAGATGTAAGAAATGATGCGTGGGGGGGGGAGCTTCTAGCAGTTCAGTGTGGATGCCAGAAGAGCAGCGTTCTCCTGTTGTGTATTCCCAATTCCTTTCATCCCATTTTGCTTGGGAAAATGAAGCTAACTTGAGATTCAGCCCATTCAGTAAATTTAGATTTCCACTAAAAATTCCCAAAAAGTTGGAAACTAAGCAGTTTGCTACTCATGATTTAGATCTTTAAACATTATAAATGCCTAACCTGGGATGCATTTCAAAGGTTTTCTTGAGGGAGATTATAATCTCTTCATTCAAAAGACAATATACTGTACAATTCTTCTGTCTTTTTTTTTAATAGATATTTTCACCCTAAAAAAGGAAAAGATAGAAGTAGCAATGCAAAGTTAGGAGAGGGTTATAATTGTGGTATAGGCATTAAGATGTTGGAGTAGAATTGAGGAGATTCATATTCAAGGCCCCTCTCAGCTATGGGTGGGACAAGTCCACTGAATGATAGAAGCCTCATCTGGAACTTCTCACTATCTGCTGGAAAAAATAAAAATGAATTCAAAGTTCTGCAAACTTATGGGCTGTCCCCAGAAGTCCTTCAGATTGTACACCCTACAATACATTAAGTGTTGACATTCTGACTGCAGCTAGGCTTGCTTTTGCGCAAAAATGGAAGAGCAAGGAAATTCCCACAGAAGAAGAGTTAATACATAAAATATTAGCATGTGCGGAAATGGACAGGCTCACAATGATATTAAAAGACAAATGTGGATCAGTTTATTATGAAACCTGGGATAAATTTTACCGCTGGAGGAATTTGAAGAGGATGGTCGGGGTTAAAGATGAATGTTAAGATAGAAATATATGTTATTTTAGAACAAGTATT